AGGGTATTCGTAGTTGGTGGCAACCGCCTCTGACAGCTTCGCAACATGTTACGAGGGCACCAAAACTACTTCGTAAATGTTCATATGGCTGCTAAATTCGAATTCAGCTCCTAAAACTGGCCTAGAAACATGTAAAACTCGAAAAAGTGAACCGAGGTCATCAAAGGTCAATGACCTGACCTGACTTTCCGGTGACCTTGACACCCACCCTAATGCATGGAAGCAACATCATATCCCATGTTTGAACGCTTAAAACCACGAAAAGACTGCAAACGCGCCGCTAATGCGAGCCGACATACGCCGAATCGCGATTCCGGCCAAACATGGTCTCGAAAAGTAGGTCGCAGGTCAAAGGTCATTAAGGTCAGGGTCATGACAATTTCAGGGTGGGTGTAAAATTGATTAACGTGAGGGTAACGAAAGTTTCGTCGCGATCGGCCGCTTTTTACGCGAGTTATTCGCGAAAAACCGAGGGAGGGGGGTCCGTTCGACCCCCCCCCCCCTCTATACGGGCGAGGGTTAAGTTGATCTCACCCGAAGAAAAAGTATACCATTCGACACGCCTGAGCTAGACAAACACGATGCTGCTAAAATTGCGGATCTGCGATCATTTTTAGCGAAGTTATTTACCAAAAACCGAACCTGTGCCTTGGACCACTTGACCTGACCTCCGAAGTCATCGTCTGACCCTGGTCCTTAACCCTCGCGGGCCCGGGGGGGGGCGTTTTTCGCCCCCCATGGCGAATATTTGCGATAGCTCCCGAACGCTTAGGGATAGGAAAGCGAAACTTTCAGTACCTTTTCTCCCATCAATTTGACATCTTCTGAAGTAAAAAATTTGGACCTAGCCCCCTTGATGACGTCACAAGGTCCATTTTTCTAGACCCCTGCACGGCAAACTTCGGCGTCACAGACGCAAACTTCAAATAGCTGCTAAAAATAGAGTTTTAGAGATAAAGACAAATTACGAGCACGGTTGTGTAGCGTTTGACCTAGAGAAAAATAGAAAAATAGTTTTGGTAACCTGAGGTCAGAGGTCAGGTCAACAACCCCGAAATGTGGTTTTAGTTTTTCGCAAATAACTTCGACAAAAATGGTCCTAGAGCTACGACAGTGGTACCATCGCATTCGCCTTGTCAAGCCGCGTCGAATGATATATATTTTGTTCGGAAAAGGTCAAATTTTATGTTGACCTCATGTGACCTCGAATGACCTCTGGTTGACCTTGACACATGAAAGGTCGTTTTTGATGGATTTGTACCCGCTGATCACGAACCTGGCATCTATTTTCCTCTAACCCTTCATTTAGAGCTTCCGGATTGCAAAATTGTCTTATTTATTATTACTAACTTGAATCAGTGAAATAGCCTCTAGCAGGGATACTCTTCTGTGACCTTGACGTTTGAGCAGCCTTGTATCGTAAGATGAACCACAAATAGGGAACTGATAAGCCTCAAAACATTTCAAAACATCTTGGAAGTTAGCACGCAAGATATGCGAAAATGTGCCAAGTTTGAGGTCAATTTTGAGCGTGACCTTGACCTTGACCTTTCACTTTGAGCACATTTTCAGAATCCTCAGATTCTCTTCTTTCGTTTGACAGCCAATTTTGCCGGTTTGATGCAGCCTGCCGTCCTCTAGAAGGCTTACTTTGAGATCACTACACATGTGGCGGTTTTTGCCTTTGACCTTGACCTCTGACCTTGAAAATTGACCTGAGGTCAAAAATTTTAGGTGCATTAGAATCGTCTCGTAAGGACCTTTCGTTTGGTATCGCTTTTGTTTCCGTAGCTCCCTTATTTACGGAGTTAGACAGGGGGCGAAAAACGCCCCCCCCCCCCGGGCTGCGGTGGTTGGGATTACCCCCCGGGCCCGGCCGGGTTAAATCGGAGACCAATCGCTGCATTTCGTAACGTCGCACACGATCGTTTCTTTCGTGAGGCTCTAGCTCAATTAGGGGCGAATCGGCGAAGGGGGGTTGGAAGTGTTTCCTCACTTCCAACCCCCAACGTCCCCTCGGTATTCAGAAAACCTGAAGGTCCGGTGAGGGTTAAAACGTTTCTCCTGAACGAGGAAGAAATGTAAAAGTCAAAGCTCTATAGACGTCCTATAAAAGTGGCCATAATAATAAATTCGTTAGAAATAAGATGCTTTTTAAACGACTTCCTCATATAAAATCGGGTGCTGGGAACAATCTTATAAACGCTTTAGAATGGACAGGGCGTCACTGGCTAAAGTTTGGGTGCAGAAAACGGCTATTACCTAAATGCAAAATGGTTTTCATGCATTTCAGTCAATTGTATATTGTAGGTCCCAGTTGCCGAGCTAAAAAAAAATCGGTAGTGTTTTGCATCTTTTACGCCCTAAGAAACTACACCATCTATCGAAGTGGGCGGGCTTTTTGAATGGGAGGGCGCATTATGCACGAATCGAGTGCGTTCGTTTATTTTGGACTGTATTTTACCACATCCACTGCTGGTATCACTATTAATATTATCTAATGCCGTGAATACGACAGCATTCCATTTATAAGATTGGGCCAATGGAGTGGCGCCCCGCGAGCTCGGTTTTCCGCTGGGCCGCTACAGGCCAGGAAGTCGGGCTTCGCCTGAGGGCAGGACAAAGGTCAGTGAGGGAGCGCGGGGTCAGCCAGGTATCGCCAAGTGCCGAGCGGATGCCGCTCCCTCCCCTCTCTTCCCCTCTTCTCCCTTCCCCACCTCGGTATAGATGGGGAGGGACCGAACTGCCAATGACATGCGAGCGGTCAAGGCCGCTCGCGCGGCAGCGACCCTGGCGGCCGGGTGCCGCAACTGGGATTCAGCCAAGTTACCGATTCGCCTCCTGTGGGAGAGCCAAACCAGGGGACATACTTTTTAGATATACTGTACGTGTTTGGCTCAAAAACCTCAATTTAAGAAATGCATGTATCATGGTCGTGAAGTAGTCACGATAAATTGCCAAGATTCAGTTCAAGATTTTGGAAAATGCGGAACGATAATCAATAATCGAATATAGCCATTTGATTGTTAATGGTATTGGCAGTCTAATGGCGTTTACGGCATGTCTGTATGTCTATTCTGTGATTTTATATGATTTTTTGAACATATGCCATTTTTGGTCGAAAACTCAGAAATCATGACGTCACTAAAACCTCGATATCTCAAAAATTTTCCGACCGATTTTTTTGAAACTTTGTCACAATAAACTTCAATCAATTCCCTACAGGTACCCAAAATTTGGCGCGCCTGCGGCGCGCCGTTTTTATGCTATGGCCCGGCGAAAAAAGTGGGGGCGTTTAACGCCCCCCCCCCCAGCAACTCGCGGGTTAATGAAAAGAGCCCCTGAAAGGCTTCGGTGAAATCGTTCCCAATTTTGGGTACGCCGTTCCCATAATAAGGAACGCTTGCAGCGCCAGTGTACGAGAGCGTTCCCAAATTTGGGCTCGCGGCCCGGATGATGGGGAAGAAATAGGGGAACGATTTGAAACTACGATGGGCCTTACAATATCAAACTCTTTCCCAACAATATTGAGACAAATATCAGGCGGTTCACGATCGTTTTATATTTTTTGGACGTCATTTAACGGTTCTTTTTCTTGTTTTAACCCGCGACCTGGTGGGGGGGCTATTTTTTGCCCCCCTCCAGACTTTTCGATATATCTCCAGAACCGCTGCGCCGATCGCCACCAAACTTTCAGTACCCTCCCGGACACCAATTTTACACATTGTGACAAAAAAAAAATTCCAAAGGCTATGATAGGTTGGCCGGAAATGACGTCAGAGTGACGTCATGTTCTGCCGTTTTCGACCCAAAAAAGGGTTTCGCGGGAAGAGCTGTCAGGCCTAGAGCTTTGCAAATACAGAAAAATGATAGAGACATAAAAGCTGTAGAATTGACGGGGCTACAAAACTGCTATCTCGGATTTTTGAAATTTTTGGATTTTGAACCCCAAAAATCAAAAATAGATTTTTTGAATATAATAGCCAAAAAATCCAAAAAGTTTTTTGAATTTTGCAAAAACCGGAATATATGTGATAGTCCATACCGCCTTCTATCCACATACCAAATTTGAGATTGATACCTCTTTTTTTGGCTAAGTTATAGCGAAAAAACTGTTCAAAATTGATGACGTCAAATTTTCAAACTCAATTTGTAGCAATTCTAGACCTCGTAGCGCAAAACAAAGACCACCATTAGACTCCCCGTGACGAGCTGCATCGAATCGATACCCTTTTTATGCAAAACTATCAATTTTAAAATTTGACCTTTTTTGGCCTGACCTTGACCTGACCTTGACCTGAACTTCACCAGAAAGTGACCTAAGCCGTACCTGATAGTCTTATAACCAACACCATTGAGTTGGAAATAAAAAATTGGCCATAAAACATGCATCACACAGCCTTAGTAAAGTTGGGCTCATGTGACCTGACCTGTGACCCTTGGTGACCTGACCTGTGACCTGACCTGGTATTGTCAGTGACCTCTAATAGCAACATATCTACTAGGCAACTGACGCCCTATCGCTGATTATCGACAAAATGCGTTTTCCTCGGTGTTATAGCGCATTCCCTAGCAGACCCGTGAACGGTGAAACATTTCATCTTTGACCTGACCTGTGACGTCATCGGTGACCCCGAGGTCAATGAAATTTGGTTTCTTTCGACAAATTTGACAGGCCTTTCGAACGCCGTTTGAATTTTCCGGATCCGTCCAGTAGTTTCGGAGATACGAGGGGGGGGGCAAAAAATAGCCCCCCCCCCCCACCAGGTCACGTTATAAACAGACCCCACCAGGGCGCGGGTTAAATAATGACTACATGGCGTTCCCATATTTGGGTTTATCGTTCCCAAACATGGGAACGAAAATGCGTTCCCGAAAATGGGTACGCTTGACCATAGTTCCGCCTACTGATTTGTAGAATTATAGTAGTACACGTAGAATTGCATAATGCATATCCTGTTCTTGGAAGGCAGTTTGACGATCTCATTGGAACGTTGCAGGTATTTTCAGCTTTGCAAAAGTGCCGACACGAATATAGAAGACTGGACGTATATGAACAATTTTTGGGAAGAAAAGAACACTACAGATGTTGACATATTCTAGATGGATAGCTTCAACGTGACAACGAAAGACAAACATTGTCATAGAAAAAATGTCCATGCACTTGACGATGCTGTTTAGAAAACGACATAGTGCTTTGTTGTATCGTAATTTATATCAATATGTAAAGCGCCGTGGTTGTTTGCTATCAGTGATGGGTAGCTATGTGTGGCGGCTTCTGGTGCATTTGTGGTGAACTGGGTCTGAGAACTGTTTTGCAATGTGACTTTGTATCTTAGCTTTATAATACTGCATTGCGCCATGTGACAATTGGTCTCAGCATTTGGGAGCATTTCATTAAGCGATATTGCATAGTGGAAAATAATGATTTCATCTTATCACGGATATCCCAAACATCAGACCAATCCGGAACGAAGTTTTTACAGGTAATTTTTTCTAAATGTGGCAATGGGACCATGGCAGCGAAAACAAATGTTTTATTCTTATAAACTGCCGGTTGTTTTGCACCAGTGTGCCCGACAGCTCAGAAATTCTCATATCATTATGGTTTCTAGTGGACGAATGCTCTTAGAAAGTTGTCATTTACAATTGTTTGACCTTGATAAAATGGCATTAAAGCTACATATTGCGCCATTTTTATTCATTCAAAGTAGTATTGAAGTAAAAAACGTTGCAGTTATTTAGAACTATTAAAGTCTTTGCAGTTTTTATTATCTAGGGAAGAAAAATATCGCTAAAACTCAACGTACTTTGCAATAATTCATTCTAGTCAGTGCAATAAGACTCACTAAATGTTCAGTTACATGAAAAATGTGAATATTTATGTGAAAATGTTACAACACGGGCGCGCACAGAATGGACCAGTATGTAGGTATTGGGTAATGATCGTGTCGTTATCATAAAGAGGATGTCTAACATCGAAAGATTCCCTTTAACATTCAAGAGCAACAATGTACAGGGTGTCCGGAAATTGATTGCACACGGTCCATATGCCCGTATCTCGCACATGCTCCCGCCAAACCGGTTAGGAAGGGTCGCGACCCCGCCCCCGGGCACCCCAGCGTGTCAGTTAATCACGTGACCCAGCAGGTGACCTGACCCGAGCCGCAGTGAGCGGCCACAGGTCATTTTCCGAGAGGCAGTCTTCGCGCGCGGGCCCCATATCGGGAATGGTGAGGGAGCACACTTTGACGACGCGCCACCGCGCGGTTGGGATGGTTCAAGCCGGGATGACGGTAGGCGATGTTGCCCGACAAGTGGGCGTATCTCGCCGGACCCTTCATTACTGGCTAGCTCTCGACCGCAGCGGTGCATCACTGGAGAATCGTAAAGGTCGTGGGAGAAAGACTGCTGAGCAGAGTGGCCAAAATCGTGCTCGCCAAGGCCGTGCTGAAACGACGCCAATCGACGCGGAAACTGGCCAAAAAGCTGACTGAGAAGGGTCATCCGGTGTCGAAGACCACTGTTCACCACTACATGACCAAGTGCTTGGGTCTCAAGCCGCTAAAACTGCGCCGCCAGCCAAAACTGACCGAAGCCCAGAAGCGGAAAAGGCTGGCATTTGCCCGGGAGCGGAAGAACTGGACCATCCAGGACTGGCGGCGCGTCTTGTTCAGCGATGAGTCGGTGTTCGAGCTCATGCACCCGCCGAATCGCCAGAACGAGCGCGTCTGGGCGCACAGCAGCGCTGAAGTGCCTGCCATCGACACGGTGAAGCAGCCGCTGAAAGTCATGGTCTGGGCCATGATGAGTCATCAGGGCCTGTCGGAGCTCCACTTCGTCCCCCGCGGCCAGACAGTGACGGCCCAGTACTACGTGGAGGAGGTCCTGAAGAAGTCGGAGCGTCGGCGATGAAGCGGAAGAGGAAGACGGGACCGCCAACACAGGTCGAGCTGCTCCCGAAGATGTCCGAGGCGATCTTCCAGCAAGACGGCGCTCCGGCTCATCACGCCACCAGCACTCAACAGTGGTGCCGGGACAACCTCCCAGGGTTTTGGGAGAAGGGTGTATGGCCGGGCAACAGCCCTGACCTGTCGCCCATCGAGAACGTGTGGGCTATCGTGCAGAGCGAGCTCGACATGATGGAGCCGGCTACCACCGAGAAGGCGCTAATCAGGAACCTCCAGCGAGCGTGGCTCGGCATCAGTGCGGGGACACTGGATAACCTCATGTGCGGCATGCCCGACCGCATGAGGGAGTGTGTGCGACTGGGTGGAGGGTATATCGGCAAATAAACCATGAAACATGCTCGTTTTGTTTCCTTGTCAAATGTACTAAAAGAGTGTGCAATCAATTTCCGGACACCCTGTACCTACTACGATCAAGGGAGATAAGGGATCATAGCTAAAAAAAAAAAAATGCGTCGCTTCATGAGCCATATCATTTCTGGCAAAAAGTTTGTAGATTTCACTTATCCCGGACAATCATACATTCCTGCAACTTCAACACGGGGACCGATCGCCGTTATGTATGAATGTACAGGGACGCGGCGTTTGCTAGTTTGAACTGTGTGTATATGCTAGTATATTACACAAGGAGGTGGTGTTCCTGGTGAGGTCATATCCGTGGCCCGGCTGTATGTACAATGTACAGCTGGTGTTGCTGACTCGAGCGCCGAGCGCTGTCAAGCTACATTTGTGTGTGTAATTGTGTGTGTGAAATGTTGCATAGCGGGCACTGAGATGTGAAGAAGAATGCGTGACCACGGAACCAGCCACCTGAATGTATTTGTATGTAATGCTGGCTAGGCTGCCGGTATGCTGTTGTAGAGTGTTTTGTTATGTAAGCGTCATACACAGTTACGTTGTTGAACATTATGTGATTTAATGAACAAAGCATTTACTTGAGCGTAAGACATGTGAAGTCAGTATTTACAAAAATACAGTACTTTTGTAAGGTATTTTGTATTTATAAAGTCAACAGTTCATTTGTTTTAGAAATCAGCGACATATTCAGCGTGCACACTCGTTATTGTTTCTAAAGCTGCCATTGTTGTTGTAAATCGAAAAGGGAAAGCTATGTATGTACAAGCCATATTCCATACAAGCGTAAAGCGATGATATTCAATCCTGTTTTAGGGCCTTGTTCAATTTCACCTGTATCAATGGAAAGCCTGTGTTGCTTGCTATCGTAATGCATAGTTTCCCTTGTTTTCTGTATAGGTCTTTCTCCGGAGAGGCTCAAACTGGGATTTCGTGAGTGTTCATGTAACCACGCTGCAATAAACACCCTGACGACGGTTGTGGCAACCAACTCCTGTGTATTTAGTCGTTCGTCGGTCACAATCATAAGGCGACTGCCCTGTGTTGGCGGGAAGGGAGCGGGGCGTTTCGCCGGGCAATGAGCTCGGATGTTGCCAGCTGCACGTGCTCAGATGTTGCAGGACTTGCCGCAGGTGGAGTACGGCGACAGCACGTTGTTTCCGGTCAGTGGAGGACAGCCCACCAGGATTCTGTGGATGAGAAAACAACAGCTCACAACGCACTCTGGGCTCATACGCTGCAAACAATGCAGCATGAGGGGTAACAGTGAGTCAGTGGCGGATCCAAGGGGGGGTCACATGGGTCATGCCCCCCCCCCTTGAGGCCCGGGGGCCCAAAGACCTGCCAGGGGCACCACCGGCCTATCAGGGGTATCACAGTCCTGACAGGGGCACCACAGGACCGCCAGGGGCACCACAGGCCTAGCAGGGACACCACGGGCCTGGTGCCCCTGGGCCCTGACAGGACTGTAACGCCCCTGACAAGCCTGAAGTGTCCCCGGCAGGCACGTGGTGCCCCTGCAAGGCCGGTGGTGCCCCTGGCAGGCCTGTGGTGTCCATGGCAGGCCTGTGGTGCCCTTGCTAGGCCTCTGGTGCCCCTGACAGGCTTGTAATGCCCCTGGAAGGACTGTGGTGCCCCTGGGCCCTGACAAGCCTGAGGTGCCCCTGACAGGCCAGTGGTGCCCTTGCTAGGCCTGTGGTGCCCCTGGTAGGCCTCTGGTGCCCCTGACAGGGTTGCGGTGCCCTTGGAAGGACTGTGGTGTCCCTGGGCCCTGACAAGCCTGAGGTGCCCCTGACAGGCCCGTGGTGCCCTTGTTAGGCCTGTGGTGCCCCTGGTAGGCCTCTGGTGCCCTTGCTAGGCCGCTGGTACCCCTGCGCCCGGAGAGGACTGGTGCCCCTGAAAAGTCTGAAGTGCCCCTCGGCAGGCCTGTGGTGCCCCTGACAGGCCCAAGATGCCCCTGCGAGGCCGGTGGTGCCCCTGGCAGACCTCTGGTGCCCCTGGCAGGTCTGTGGTGCCCCTGGCAGGTCTGTGGCGCCCCTGGCAGACCTGTGTTGACTGGTGCCCCTGCTAGGCCGCTGGTGCCCCTCACAGGCCTGCGGTGCCCCTGGAAGGACTGTGGTGCCCCTGCCCCTAGGGGTGCTCATGGGCCCAACAGGCCAGTTGTGCCCCTGACAGGCCTGTCGTGTATACTTGCTAGACCTGTGGTGCCCCTGCTTCCTGGCAGGCCTGTGGTGCCCCTGGCGGGCCTGTGGCGCCCCTACAAGGCCGTAGGTGCCCCTGACAGGTTTGTGGTGTCCCTGGAAGGACTTTGGTGCCCCTGACAAGCCTGAAGTGTCAAGGACAGACCCTTTAGACGCCAGGGTCAAGTTCGTCGGACTGACAACGATTTGCTTACCTGATAACGTTCCTGGTAAGTACTCACTACTCAGCGTCCACAACATATATACACATAGCACATTCATATCTACTTGCTTACAATTGGTAAATGTGGTTGTGGCTAAGAGTTAAGATACTGACTAAAAATAAAAAGAAAAAGAAAAAAACTGAAAATGGGGGCACCACCAAAATGAAGTGGACGAAATCCGTTGAGTTTTTAATTTTGGGTATAGGTAGGGGAACCACTTCGATTCATGACCCTCCCCTTGGAGTTTTCCTGGATCCGCCCCTGCAGTGAGTCATAACAGTAAGCTGACGCGACTCATAGTGCGATCGCTCTGGGGCAAAGGTCATCGTACTGCCCGGCGTCCTCTCTGGTGGTGACTGCATTATGATGTTCGCATTTGTTCTATACTTACCTTTGTTTTAGAGTTCGGTATAGCCGTAATGCCATTGATCTGCTCTGGACATCTCTGGCCTGGCCTGGTTCCATCCTAAGGTTCCCAGACTGATCTTCAATTGGGTTTGTCATGGATCCCCTGTACACTCAGACCTGTATCTGTCCTTGATACCCGACACCAGGGGCGGATCCAGAAAATCTCCAAGGGAGGGGCCATTAGAAACCAGGAGGCCCCCCCCCCCATAATTCCACCTGTTGGAGGCCCCATCTTCCCACTTGTTGGGGCCCCCCCCAAAAAAAACTGCGTCTATTGAGCTTATCTAGCTGTTCAGGCAACATCTCAACATCTGTGCAGGCTTGGAGGCCCTCTGTGCAGGTTAGGAGGCCCTGTAAAAGTGGTCATCTCTGTGAGTATAAGAGACCTCCAAGTTATGAAAAGCTTTACCAATCTTCTAACAAAGAAGTCTTCTCAGCTAGTCTTCTAAGAAATAACTAAGTGGGTAGGTTAAAAAAAAAAACTCATCGGATTTCGGCCACTTTATTTTCAGGAGGCCCCCTTTTGAGCTTTTTAACTTTTTAACTTTTTATTTTATTTTTGAAAAAAATCGGCCAAGGGGGGGCCATGGCCCCCATGGCCCCCCCTTGTATCCGCGCCTGCCCGACACCAACCGGTATATGTCTTAGGCACTCTCACACTGACGTGTATCTGTCCTTGATACCCACACTAACCTGTATATGTCTTAGACACTCTCACACTGGCCCGTATCAGTCCTAGATACCCCGACACCGACCTGTATCTGTCCTGGAGTTCCTGCGAGGGCAGCCGCTGGCAAAAGTCGTCCTGGTACTGGGTGATGCTGCCGCCCAGACTGCCAAACTCGGCCACTCGGTCTAGGATGTGCGCCGACGCACACATGTCTGCCATGAAGCGCTGGTAGTAGCTCTGCTTCTCCGCTGTGACAACGTCAGGAAACTCCGTCAGAACTTACAAAGCCGGCGAGAGACGGAGCTCTACCACGAATGGCAAAATGCCAAATCAGGAAAATATGCGTTCTTATTTAGATGATGTTTATACGCAAAACACTATCTAATGTCTATGAATCCATGAAATCGCCACTGACCCCGCTTGGCTACGGTGGCCGGTCCGTGCGGACTCTTGAAGTCGTAGCGTGTGATGGATTCGCTCCAGGCGGGGGTCCTCACTGGCTCCAGATTGCTCCGCTGAGTGGGACACACGGGCCCTAGTCGGTCTTGGTCGACCTGAGGGACAGCGCACAACGAGTCAGTGGGGCAGGCAACGGTAAGTACAAGAGGGCTGGCTAAGGGGAATACTTTGTGGAAATATCACAAATGTTCAATTTTAAATATGCCCATCTCACATGCCTTTGAAATTCAAAGATAGCATTCATCCATTGGGATGATTCGGCAACTCAAATAAATGTTTGTAACTTTTTGTCTGCTTGTAGTAACTATCTTCTGACTTGAATAAATTTATTTCACATTACCACAGGGTACATTTCGATGAGGATGACACACTAGACACTACCACTCATATGCCGTTAGTGCTTTGGTTTTGCACCAAATATTTCGCCCCATGGAACCTCGAAGTCGCTTGGGGCTAGCTTTCTCCCATTCTCGATGAGCTGGCCAAATACGCTGGATTTTGATGAAGAAGCTGGTGGAACTACTTCTGCGTCTACGGCTGAGTCCGACTCTTCTTGAATAAATGAGCTTTTATTTAGTAAATGAATGAAACTGAATCAGCTCACTATATATATACCGGGTATACCGGGTGGCCCAGAAAAAACGTTCCCAACTTTAAATCAATATTTTTTTCAGAAAGTGATAAAGATGCAACATTGAAACTTCGAAGATTCAATGCGGCACACATTTTCAGTAAATGGTGTGATTTTCATGGTATTCGGTAAATTACTTTTTAAACGGTTCGTGTTTCAAGCATGCCATGTAAAAATTACTTTTTTGCTCCGAGATTTACTAAAAAATGTGAGTGAACGGGTCACTTTCATCCCGCGGCACCGCGGCCTAGAGCCATGACTTCTACTGGCAGCTAGTGTCATTGATGGTTCGGGTCTCAGGATGACACATTCCCTCGGGCAACCACGATGGCTCTGTGCCAGCGGCATCGGAGGAAGTTTCCAGTTTTCTAACCATCTTGTGGCTCAAATGCTTTCCTGGCTGACATTCCTGGGAAAAGGTAGCTTTTCAACCAGTTTTTTTTTTGTCATCTGCTGGCAATGTTGTTTTCATAAGCTATTCCGTGGTCTTCAGGCACAGGAACCAGTCTGCTTTAGTTTGTTTTCCTTATCCGGTCGATTTACTGTTAATCTACTGAAAGGAGGGTAATCAGCATTCAGCAGTAATCCATGCACCGTGCCACTCCTGCTCGAAACATGATTTGGTGTTGAAACGAATGGCATCCATGAGCACCATTTTGGCTCAGTCTTTGAATATTTGGGACATGATTGAGACAAAAATATATCAAATACGAGCATACGTGTTGGTTTCATTCACGTGCTCTATTTTTTATTCTTTTTTATAACATGGGACGTCTAACCCAATCATCACTATCGTTTGACATCGGCAAAAAACGCAAAAACGTCTTGCTTGATTCAACTCAAGATTGCCAGCTTGAAAATGATGGTGTAGTATTATAATTTGGCATACCAATGCGCAAAGAAATGACGCAAACTTGATGAAAATTTTGGCTCGTTATTTGTACTCGTATTTGATATATAGGCCTCCAAACTTCGGAACGTTTTTTCTGGGCCACCCGGTATATTGAGTGGGCCAGCTATCAACCTGGCTGTTCATGGACTGACGGTGGCAGGCCAGCCGTCCCATCAGTCGGCACCCAACGGACCATTAGTGGCACCGAATAGATAGCAGGTGCGCACACACATGCATTCACTCGCCGACAGATGCATTCACTCGTTATTCAACTCACTTCGATCATTCGTGCTTGTAACTGAGAGTTTTTAGCTCAGTCAAAGACAAAAAAAAAAATATATCGTAATATGCATCTGGTCACTGGTGAGCAGCAAAACAGATCTGGATTATCTTAAGTCCAATACGCATATGTAGGCATAATATGCATACGTTTTGTCTTGTGATAATGTTAAATTCACCTCATCACTGATTCAGCTGTATTCGGTATGCCTTAATTTTTGTCGTGCATTCGTATTGTATATACTTACATTGTCTTTATAATTAGTTGTGTCATTCGCATCGTAATTAACCCGCGCCCTGCTGGGGGGGGGGGGTGTTTGAACACCCCCCCCTTGTTGTTTTTCGCGAATATCTCAAAACGGCGGCGCGGAGCGCCGCCGTTTTTGGTACACCTTATCATACATCAATTCTACACATGTTGTGAAAATTTCAGACCAAGGTCATTCAAGGTCAGGTCACCAAGTCACTTGAAGTGACCTCACCTCATAAAAAGTTTCAATGTCTGTCATAGCTACACCGAGTGACCGATTGCTTTGAAACTTTCAGCGATTGCTAAGAGCAATAGCATGTACAAAATGTATATCACAGAATTTTGATATCGATGACCTGAGGTCAGGTCAATTTTGCGACCTCCCCATTATAAGTCAATGGGAGAAAATTGAAATGCGCGTCTTTTGGATGAAAGACATTATAAACACTCCCAAACACCGAATTACAAGTGGTTTAGACACACTGAACATGAAAATGGTGTCCGTGACCCTTGTTTATGCCCTGAGGTCATCTTAGGTCACGAATGGTATCTAACAGTTTTTCGCAAATAACTTTTGATAGAGGCATGCTAGAGCGATGAAAACGCCTTAGATGTGTTCAGCTCGACGATATACTGATCGACTGATATGCAACATGACCCTTTCCGGTCAGGTCATGACCTTGACCTGAGGTCAAATTTTCAAGTTGACCTTTCAAGGTCAAGTTGTAGTTCATTCGATGCGTCTTGACGAGAGGAACACGATGCCGGTGAAAGTAAGCTCGTACAAGGCTTGGGTCAAAAGTTATTGCAGAAAAACTGTTTCCGAAAAAAATCGGCTATTTTTGCAGTTTTTGCCCCCTGCAGGCAAAACCGTTGACGTTAGGTCAAATCTGAGAGAATTACTCAGAAAGGGTGTTAATAGGGCTATCGAATGCGCTTTTCCGGGGCGCTCTAGCTCTATTGGTTCCCGAGTTATGCGTTGGCTTCTTGGAAATTTTCGACATTCGACCTGGAAATCGGCGAAATTTTGCCTTCAATGACCTCTGGTGACCTGACCTTTGACCTGACCAAAAATTTGACCGTAGTGATTTCGTCATTATTTCATTTCGAACGCCGCCTTCCGCGTATCGCTACGTGGCCCAGGAGCCGAGTTAAAAGGGGGGTGTTCAAACCCCCCCCCCCCCAGCAGGGCGTGGAAATCCAGGACCCCCAGCAGGGCGCGGGTTAATGAAGGCAAAAGTTCTTCATGCTAGAAAACGTATAGTACTTATAACTTTAAAAAATGTTCTTCTCACGTGCTATCTCCTGCCATGAGAGATTTCGTACACCAGCACTCCCCTCCCCCTCTCACACACACGCACGCATACACCGTGCGGCGCATCGACTAATCACGCTGACTTCATTAAATTGGTGAGAATCTGCCTGGGGCTGCCATCGACCAGTCCGGTGGCACGAGATGGCCGGGAGCGTCCTGGCGATATAGTGGTGGTGGTTGTGGTAGTGGTAGTGTTAGTGGGGGTACTCGTAGTGGTAGTGTTTGCGATTGTGGTGTTGGTAGTACTGGTTGTAGTGGTGATTGTGCGTTATCTCGAAAAGCCCCGATAACGGAGCCTGCCTGGGGCAGCCGGGGAGTGACTTGGAGAATTCAGCCTACAATGATCAGTCGTTTGATCATGACTTGTCAAGATATATGATAATTGCTGATATGCTGCGCGTAAAGTCATGTATAAACAGCATTTTGTTTCCTCATAAAAGTTTCGAGCATCTTCAGAGTTCAGCTTTGGCCTCTGTACTTACTAGGGACGATTGTGCAGACATGCTGGTGCCAGCGAGACGCCAATGACCTGGAGGCTGTACCGGCAAATGCATAAAGGTTTACCCTAAGGTGAAAGTCCTAGCAACTAAATAGACGTACTGGCGGCGGCGGTACGGCCACTATCTGGTTGCCGGGCAGGCACGGCGAGCAACGCGGGTCGTTCTCGCGGCTGCTATCCGTATACATTCCGATGACGGTGTAGAGGGGCAGGCCGGGGTCGGACGGTGCAGGACTGCCCCCGCACCGACCGCTGCTGCACTGCTCCGAGGGTTTGGAGCTGCCGCACCAGCGCTGCAGAATACCGAGCGGCCGTGGTATCGTCACGGCACGGAACGGATCGGAGAGGCCACGTAACCGAAAAGTCACGGACAGTTCCGTGACCAGACATGACATAAAGGTAGCCACAGGGTGACTTCGAACAAATTACCAAAAGCGGAATAATCAAGCGCTCGGTCACTCGAGGCATCCCGAGCGCCTTTCGCCTACATCGAGCTGCCACACTCCACTGGTGGAACGGACAGGTTCTGAGACGGAACTGCAGAAACACGATATTGAATCAAAAGCTGAGCTCCAAAACTGATATTGACAAATTACATTTCAGCAGACAGCTGTCAATAGCCGACAGCTAAAAAGATTTCATGATATGGGAAAAGCTGACTGCAGAGCAATAGAACTACTCCCATTGAATTAACCCGCTGGACTATGGCGAATATCTAAGCTGATAATCTTAGTCATTCAAAGACCGACCAGAAATTAATGAGCACTGATCGGAGTCGGCACCGGTCCGACCACTCACGCAGAGCACGGTTTTCCACGGCTCTCGGTAGCCCTCGGTGCTGGGGTACTTTTGGCGCAGTCCAGGCGGCGGCTTGTAGTCGCGGTGGCTGGCCGAGATTTTGTACAGCGACGTCAGAGCGGTGCCCGTCGGCTCGCCTATCTGGGTACGCGTGTATATCCGTCCGTCCAGACACTGAAACGCCACACAGACAGACAGACGGAGCTGCCGTCAGCGGCGCAGAGATGGCGCTGAGCTAGCACACGAACCAACGGACACGCCGATCTAGCCGATGGATTGTGGAGAGAGGAGCGAGCGACTAATGCTGCGAAATACATCCCTATACTGTGCCTATACCATCCGCGCATTCTTCTATAAGCTCTGCCGCTGCCACGCCGGGAGGGACATAATAGGCTATCTAGTCGACAATTGCAGGAAGTTTTATCGCGCAGGCGGTATGTAGGTACGAGTAAGAACGCATACAACATACGCGCTGTGCAGGTGAACACACCACAGCGCTGTCAGACGCTGTACATTTATGCGTATTTGCGTGCGTCGGTGGTAACCGGTGCCCCTGCCAGTCTCAGCCGCAGAAGCCTCTCTATGCAAAAATGGTTCAGCATGAGCTTCAGTCTGCCAGTCTACTTGACACAGATATAAAACTGCATGGTGACCAAGCCTGCAGATGCCGGTCCATGAGATGAGCGGCAAAAATGGAATTTGCTTTGTCAGAGGCCACCAGCCAGTTTAGTCATAGGTTTTTGTTTAGTGTGCTTCCGTATGTAGTATGAAGTGCATGGTTGATCTGGCTTTGCGCATCAGTCCGGTTGTCTTCAGGTGTCTTTTTGCATATGCTTTTGTGCTATTGCATACATAGATACCGCATCTTACCACATTGCATCTAATACCGACAAGGATCTTTGTGGCTTTATCTTTTGTTTGCATCCATAAAGAAATACAAAAGATTTTAATTCCACATCTACATGAGCATTGAGCATTCAACTGGAAACAGATAGGTAACTAGGTAGGTAGGTACGCTTTATCTTGTAGTTGCACATCTTAATTCAAGCATGAGTGAGCCCAACTACATAAGAGTATATGCGTTCAGTAAGCAGAACATCTCGCATTTTGGCCTTCAACGTTGGCATGGACGAACTGATATGACCGTTGTTGGAAAGCTCAATAAACGTCCTCGAGTAATTCCGGTGCAAGTTAATCATAATTCCGGCCATGTAAAAAAAAATGGTTGCTAGGCTAGGCCTATAGGATAGCATGACACCTCGCCGGAAATCATCTTTCATTGACGTAATTGAATCTGAATAATGGTGAAGAACCGCAACAGTTAAAGTTGAAAGATGTCAAAATAACGATTTTGTTATTGGGACGTCACAGATAGCATTTAGTTAATTGTTCCATCAACCGAAAACGGTGAGCGACTTCCAATGCCCTGCGTCTGATTAAAAGACTCAGTGATAACGCTGACTGATCAGCAGCAGAAGGCATGCGTGAGAACTGAGAACCATCGCGACAAAATAAACAAATGCAACGATAAAGCAGCTTTCAAAGAAATAAAATGAAATCATCCACTTGATAATTTGTGAGTGCATATTCTTAGCCAAAAAGTGTAAAAATGCAACTTATACCTATTTCAGCCACTTATCGATTCCATTTCGGTGATAGCAGACCAAAAATCAAAATAGTCTCACCGGCAGAAGATTTGGAACCGATCTGGACTTTGGCGGCGCGAAGTCAGCATTTGTTGTCGACTGCCAGAACTTGACGTCCGATATTCTCTCCGCCCAGTCTTTACAGTATGACAGGTTATGTGGAGGACGGGGGCAGCTCGGCTGGAAGAAGGAAAGATAATGATAAATTTGAATATCAGTGATTTCGCGTGTAATCGAAATCAAATTCAATTAAAAGATGCTCTGTCATCAAACCGCATTTCATTTTTGTATTTCTTTTCAGCTTTACTTCAAAAGCCAAAAATACTAGTTACAGTTAGATAGATGTCTTACCATCGTTAGACTCATCAGCAGAGTAGTAAAGGGCCTAAGTGAATAGGCATTGAATACCGAAGAGTACTTACGTTTTCATCAGGACATCTTGAGTTTGCCATTGGATTTGCACGAACCGGTGTGTAGCAGGGCATTTTATTTCAACGGTAAATAAAATGCTAACGTAGTCTTTTGTTTAAATAATGCAGGAATTTTAAATGGCACCGCTCGATGAATACAAGACCAAAAACAAAAGAGACAACGATAACAAAACAAATTTGTAAAATTGTTCCTGGAATTGTTCAATATTCTTAGCAAGGTAAAATATCTCGCTCGTGATAACGTTAAGGAAACGCCGCTCCTCAAAAGGTGATGTAGCGGGATTTCGCGGCGTTGCGGGGCTAACCGGGCGGTCGCTTCTCAGCAGGTGGGCTGGCTCGAGTGGGGGTGTTAAAATCGGCCTAATGGGTGCGCTTCTACTCGTAAAAGCCCTTCTCGGTTCAGCCCCTCGCGAACTCGTCCCGACTCTGTCTTTGCATTCTCCGGGGCGATCAATCATCGGAAACACATAGGCCAGGGTTAGGGAATGGGAGATAATGATAAATGATAATCAATTACCCTCGATCATATTGGTATAGAAAATCAACTCTATTTAACAAAAAGTCCCACTCTCAAACAACAGCGCCTTTCCTAGCTGAGGGCTATCTCCCACCGGATATACACAACAATCATACTTCCACTCGTGCATCCCTTCTCACTTCTGTCATACGTCCAGTTATACCTCATAATTATCAGAGTTAGCCGTCTCCGATCCCTCCCTCTTTGCCTAACTTCCCCCGGTGGTGCTAAGGCGTGCGCAAGTCATTATTGAGTCATTGGCCTTAAATTTCATTAACCGTTATCCCTTCATAACCACAATGCTCCGTACATCAGACAAACGCTTCATAATGCTCACGCTACACGAATAGAATATACGAACCACCACAGATTTCGGCACTCCGCCCTTGAATTACGCGACTTATAGCGGGTCCAAGACCATGCCGAACTACCTACACACAAATAATAAACACACACGCACGCAGGTTGTTGAGCGAACAATGGACTTACAGCATGGGCCGGTAAACCTTTGCAACAACGTACGCAGCCCTTGTCTTACTGCCACTCACGCGTGGACCTACCTTCTGCTGCCAGTGGTCAGTCAGCATCTCTAACACACTCCAGCCCACGGTTCCGGAGCTAGAGCTCGCAGGGCACTCAGTAGCCCGGGCTTTCCGCGGCGGACGTATCTAAAATTTGAAAGCCGGGTTGGGTAACTAAAGTCCGTCCGTGATACTAATGACCGCATCTCGCACCAGCCATAGTTCAGGGTTTCCGGGCCAACCCGGCGACCTAAAAAAAGGTTAGCTCTCGTCGGCTAACTACAAAGACGACACGCGTCTTCCACGCACGCAGGTCCACTCGGGGATATCCTGCACTCAACACACATCGTCGACTACCAGCACATAGGCGTCCAAAGCCCTATCTATCCGTGGCTGGTAGTTAAGCTGTCGTCACAGACCTATTCGAAAGGACCAGAGCATGGCCGGAGCTACTCGACTGACTGCGGGTGGCCAGCACCGTCTGACTGCGATCACCCGACTCGAATGCTCGGTATCTAATGTTCACCCCCGTCTTGCGGCATTATACGTTCCTTCGCGGGGCATTACTCTTCCGGCGGCATACGATTCCCTCGCTAAGACGCCCGGGGTCCTAACCACCTCCGAAACTATCTATGTCGCTCTTCAAATGACGTCCCGCGCCGACCACTTGAGGGACCGATAGCGGGCCTACCTATCTTTTTGAAACCGGGCTGGGTAACTAAGGTCCATCCGTGATACTGATGACCGCATCTCGCTCCAGTCATAGTTCAGGGCTTCCGGGCCAGCCCGGCAGCCTAAAATCTGCCCAGCCTCCGAGGCTGTTAATCCGAGACGGAACACCGTCATCTCGCGGCGGCCCACCCGCCGATACACATCCCAGGCGACGGCCCACGTGACCTTAATTATCACCCAGGCCTACCCTGGGCCGGAACAATCGGGCCACTGGTCCCGTGTCCGCTAGCCAGAGGTTAGACAGACTACAGCCCGTCGTCCCCTCCGAGCCAGGACACGAGGCTGACCGGGTAACATTTCTTGAAACCCTCCTCGGCGGTCTGTGCCCGACTCGCCTTCATCCTCACGTTTAATTTCGCGACTTATTGCACGCATCCAGGGCTTACTCAATCGAGGCCTTATATCTAGTGGGGTCTGTCCGAGTTTAGCGCCATTCGGGAAACCCGATTTTTCTATTTGTACAGTCCGCGTCTCTACTCGCGTCTCATCTCCCTCCTAACCCATGGCCGCGTCGGTGGATTCTCCACGCACAGGGGCGTGACGTGCATCATCTATCTCCCCGGTTCCATCCCTTGCAGTGTCCATGTAGAATAAAATTACATATATTTCGTGTGCAACAAGGTCTAGTGTGTTGCTTGTGTGCGGACCGTTGGTAAATTGATTAGTGGAGTGCCAGGAAATCCGCTGGCGAGGGCATTTGGGAGTCAACCGGAGGAGCTCCAGTATCGGTTGGGCTAGGGAGGTCCTGTATGTGTTGTGTATAATCGCTATCGTTTGGACCGTGGGATAATTCGGGGAGGATGGAGTGCCAGGAAATCCACTGGCAAGGGCACTTAGGAGTCAACCGGAGAAGCTCCAGTATCGGTTAGGTCAGGGAGGTCCTGTGTGTATTGTGTGTAATCGCTATTATTTGGACCGTGGGATAATTTGGGGAGGATGGAGTGCCAGGAAATCCACTGGCAAGGGCACTTAGGAGTCAACCGGAGAAGCTCCAGTATCGGCTAGGCTAGGGAGGTCCGGTGTGTGTTGTGTGTAATCGCTATTGTTGGACCGTGGGATAATTTGGGGAGGATGGAGTGCCAGGAAATCCACTGGCAAGGGCACTTAGGAGTCAACCGGAGAAGCTCCAGTATCGGTTAGGCTAGGGAGGTCCTGTGTATGTTGTGTGTAATCGCTATTGTTTGGACCGTGGGATAATTTGGGGAGGATGGAGTGCCAGGAAATCCACTGGCAAGGGCACTTAGGAGTCAACCGGAGAAGCTCCAGTATCGGTTAGGCTAGGGAGGTCGTGTGTGTGTTGTGTGTAATCGCTATTGTTTGGACCGTGGGATAATTTGGGGAGGATGGAGTGCCAGGAAATCCACTGGCAAGGGCACTTAGGAGTCAACCGGAGAAGCTCCAGTATCGGTTAGGTCAGGGAGGTCCTGTGTGTATTGTGTGTAATCGCTATTGTTTGGACTGTGGGATAATTTGGGGAGGATGGAGTGCCAGGAAATCCACTGGCAAGGGCACTTAGGAGTCAACCGGAGAAGCTCCAGTATCGGTTAGGCTAGGGAGGTCCTGTGTATGTTGTGTGTAATCGCTATTGTTTGGACCGTGGGATAATTTGGGGAGGATGGAGTGCCAGGAAATCCACTGGCAAGGGCACTTAGGAGTCAACCGGAGAAGCTCCAGTATCGGCTAGGCTAGGGAGGTCCTGTGTGTGTTCTGTGCTCCCCGTATAATCCCTGTGTGCACTGTGTAAAATCAAACAGATAAAGAAAACTGATCGTTGTAAATTGCTCTGGCCAGACACCTTGGAAATGACCTCTTTCCCGACTGTGGGTTGGCATATGGCCTTTTATGCTCCATCCTCCGATCCCTGCCCTTCAGCACTATACTCACACTCGTATTTCAATATTTACAAGTCCCATTTATTTACATACTCCGACGCAACACCTTAAATTCCCTTACACGTCAAATTTAAAAGAAACATTCTGGGCCCAGGCCGCCCATCAACTGAGCCCCACAAGCCGCGCGGTGCGGTACACAGTCGCCCGTCCCTTTCCAGACTCCCCACGGTGTATAATCCCCTCCGTCCGCCTTAATCACCACGGGGCGCCGGACGAGGGTCCACGTCGGCACGCGTCTCGCGCCACGCGCACAGTTACATAGTTTACCGAAATCGAATTGTGAACTTAAGCTACCTAGACTGAAAGTCCCAAGAATAAATTTAACTACCTAAACTGAATGGCCTAAAACATTGCAGACGACACCTAAAAAGGGGAATATAATGTGGCTCACATAGCAGTAACGAGGGGGATTGAAGGATACTTGAAGGATTTTAGGGACTAGGTGCGCACCCGTGTTCACCGCGTGACCTTACTTGAGATGGAGTCGCTGACATGATGGTCGTGTCCGTCCAGCGCCCGGCCCGGCGGCCAGAGCCGCCGCCGGCGCCGTGATGCCAGCCGCTGGTGTCTCGTGGGCTGTCCGCGATGTCAGACGAGAGACGTGGGCCGAGAGTGCCACCGGCGCGGGATGCGTCGTCCGAGAGAGCGAGGACCAGAGAGCGTTCCAGTTCCGTTTCATCAACTTATACTTTTGATGACGTCATACTTCAGAGGGCCGGGCAGCATCTCCTTGTCCAATCTTCGTCCTCCATTCTCAGAAAGTGCGTTTGGCTCCGCCTTCAAACGTTCGTGATTTGCTGAAGTTCGGCACCCCCGGCCATGCAGTCGCACCCTTTCACGTGGCGATCGGGTGGAATTCGCCGCCGGCGCTCACGGCGCCTGAGGTGCCAGGTGGCGGGCCTGGCCCTCCGCTCCCCCTTGTTTTGAAGTCAGCTCCGGCCAGATGTCCTATATTTTGTCGTTGGCGACCGAGTTCCATTTCATCCTGTTTTCGTACAAACCGGGTCGGTCCCCGCTCCCCTTTCTTGTTTTGGTTCAAATCAGGGCCGGTCTGCACTCCCCTCTCCTTGTTCTCTGGCGGGGTGCCGAGCGTGGGACAGAGTCTTGTTTTCCAAAGGCTAAACTGATTAATGGCTCGAGGCTGGCAGAATGGCGCGTTTCGGTATGCTATTTGTTGGCTTCAGATCCGGGTTCTCATGAAGTGGGGTGGTCATCTATAGAGGACCCCTGTTTGTCAGAGCCTACTGCGCCGTCTGTGTGGACGGCAGCTGGGACGGAGAGAGGGTATCACAGCCGATTTAGCCGGCTGACCGTGTCTGTGCGGCGCTCGCAGATGGCCGTGTTTCAGCTTGTGGCACAGCTTGCAGTTCAGCATGAAAGATGAAAAAAATGTAACGCATCTGCGTTACATTTTCAGACCTCTTTTTATAGTCGCGCCCCGCGACTAAACGTTTGAGAGCCCGCTTCTGCCGTGCTATTTGGTGCCGTTTCGTCGTGTTTCTTGGTGACTTCTGTGACGAGGGCGGGTGGCCGTCTTCTAAAGGATTG